GGGGGGGGGGGGGAAGCTGGCAGTGGCTGATGGAAAGTATGTGAGGAGGGGGCTGTGAATGGTGGGAGGGGGCTGGTCTTCATTGAAATAGAGCATATAGGGAGGAGGGTGGGGTGACATTTGCTAAAATTGGAGGGGGGGTGCGATAGGGAGGAGGGAATCAGTAAAGCAGTGGGAGGCTCTTTGGGACGATCCCCAGCCTCTTCCAGGCACAGGTGAAAGCAGTTCTGAAGGGTGGGGGCACTTAGGGGGACATTTTCCCTCCTCCAATCCCTCCTCTCTCCACCCCTTCCAGCCCCTCCTCCCCCCTCCCCCTCCAGCTCCTCCTCCCTCCTCCCCCTTTCCCCCTTTCTCCCCCCTCCTTTTTCCTCCCCACCCCCTTCCCTCTTCTCCCCTTCTCCACTTTCTCCCCTCTTTCTTTATGCAATGCAATCCAACGCAATGCAATATATTTGAATTGAATTGAATCAATGTGAATTCTGCAAACATTTAGAAAGTGCTTTCTGCTCATGAGTCCAGGTAGAGGAAAGGGAACCGGAGAGTTGTCTCTCCCATCTCCCTCATCACGGAGAATGGGTTCAGTGCTTCCCCCATTCGCTCTTCACCCTCCTCTAGCTCCCTCCCTACCCACTGGTGTCATGACTCTTCTCCCAGCAGTGGACAGCATTGGGGGGTGGCAGGCTCCCCCATAATTGGGACTGTCCTCATCTTTGGACACTCTACCAAGGCTGTCAGTCCCCTCTTCTTCCTTCCTAGGGTGTGGGGAATGTCCCAGGCCAGGATCCTCCGTCGCCACCACCTCTGACTTACCAGCAACTTAGCTCTAGCTGAGCTGTTTCTGGTGGGGCTGCCTGCGGAATTTCAGAAGCCAGGGAGGGAGGGATGAGGAACAGCAAAGCGAGGAGGAGTTAAGTGAGGTTACTCAAACTGACTTGCCCAATCCTTCCCGGGAGCTGGCCAACTGTCTTCAGAAAACTTGGGCAGGCTTGTGTTTCCCTTGTAGTTTTCAACCTCCTTGCCTTAATGAATCCAACCCTTCTAGGCTGGAGACCAAGTCTGGCAACAGCCTCTGTTCTCTGAGGTGCCTAGTACTGCCCACTCACCTAAGGTGCCCGGGAGTTGGAGGTCTTCCCATTGAGGAGAGCTCAAGGAAGGGCTGAAAGAGACTTATAGAGGGAAGGAAGGACCCAGGGAAAGCAGGGAGGCCAGACAAGACAGGAGTAAGCAGCCATTACTCTGTGTGGGGGGGGGGGTCAAGCGCTCAATGATAAGGACCTTCTCCCCCCTCCCTTCCTTCTCTGGTATTTACTGTATATAGGATGTCCTCACACCTACCCTGGGAGGTAGATAACATAAGAATCATTGCCCCCATTTGACATAATAGGAAACTGAGGTTCAAAAAGGGGTCATGTAAGGCTCAAGGTCATATAACTCAAGTGGAAGAGCTGTTATTCAGACTGTCTTTGGACTCATGTCAGTGTTCCTTCCATTAGACAGACCACATTGCCCCAGATCCCTTAGAAAGAACGTTGGCTCCTTCCGCGAGCCTGTAGAAGAGATTTGGGAGGCGGCGCAAGGAAGAAAGTCTTGGGCACAAACATGATAACCTTGAGAGGGAGCTGGTCACTGTGTTCCCATGATGAACAAGGGGCCCAAACCCTTGGGTGCACCAGACTGCTCCCTTTGTTAAGTCCTGCTCCCTCAGGACTTTCTGCCTGGCTGCCTTTGAGGGCAGCCCAGTTTCTCTGGGAGTGGGCTGCCTGACATTTGCCCACCCAGAAAATGTGGGCTCCGAGAGGCATTTGGGACTGTGCTGGGAGATCTGGGTTTGAAGCCCAGATCTGCCGCCTGCTAACTTGATGAAATGCTCTCTCAGCTACCCTATGGATGCCACTCATTGGCATAGGGAAACTGAGGCACAGGACAGCTAGACGAAGTGCTGGGGGAGGAAGGAGTAGCCCCATTTGTCTTGGACTGTCCCTGCAGACAGCCCGGCATCTGGAGGAGTTCATGAGATCTTTGTGTTCTCTCTGGGCAGGGCTTTTTTGCCCAGGAATCAGGCAGGAGAGGGAAAGGCCTCCATAGGCTGAGCCCCCAGTGTCCAGATTGTTAGAGTCCATTAGGCAGCACAGACCCAGATGGGGCAGGGTAATACTGATCCTGGATCCTTGAAGCCTTGGGTCTCTGGGCTAGGGCCGTAGGGGGAGGTGCCATTCTGGCAAATCCTCGAGGACCCAGGGAATGGTGATGTCATTTGGGAATTGTTCCAGGGCGCCTCTTAGGGACCCTGATATCATTGGCTGAGCTGAAGGGCGGAGCTAGAAGTAGGAGGAGACTAGGGAGGGACAAGCAGGGGCGTGGTTATGGACTGGGTTGGGCTTTGGGGGCTGGGGGCTACATAAATGTGTGAGCACAGATCAGCTCTCAGTTGCGGAGATCCCTGAGAGCGGAGCAGTCACCCTCCAAGTCTTCTGCTGGGCACTGGTGGAGAGACAGAAGACAGTCTCATTTCCTTCGAAGAGCTAACGGTACATCTGGGAAAGCAAGCCTCGCACCCGAAGCCAAGAGGCTATGAGTGCTGAGAAGGGAGAGCTTGGGGCAAGCTCCTCCATTGACTCTCCAAGCTGGAAGGGACCTCAGAGGCATCCTTCCCTTCCAGCCCCTACCGGAGCAGCCTCACCCAACAAGTGGGCATCTAACCTCCTCTTGAATGTCTCTAGCAACGGGGAGCCGATTACCTTCTGAAGCAGCTCGCTCTATTTTGAGGCAGCTCCAACGAAGGGAATTTTTTCTGACGTCAAGCCTAATTTATCTTTTTTGCCTCTTCCAGCCATCGTACCCTGTTCCCCTCTGGGGCCAACGGGACAAGTTTATTCTCTCTTCCCCCTTACAGTTCTTCCCAAACCTAAAAACAGCTATCACGTTCTTTTGCCCCAGTCCTCTCTTTTAGGAAACAGGTTTCAAGGATGGAGATGAATGCCCTTTTCTCCTAGCCCAACTTGGGATCCAGGGTGGACACCTACCACTATGGTCTTGCTTGTGTAAGTGAACTAATCTCGGGCTGGGGTTTTTCTCCACAGATGGGTTTCCCAATGAACAAGATGTTGCTGTTATCACTCACCTTTTTGGCCTTTGCCTCGTGCTGCAACGCTGCTTATCGCCCCAGTGAGACCCTTTGTGGTGGGGAGCTGGTAGACACTCTCCAGTTTGTGTGTGGCGACCGCGGCTTCTATTTCAGTAAGTGGTTCTTGGGGGTGGGGGGGTGGGGGGTGGAGTCAAGGGCAGGCTCATGGAGTGCCCTGGAGCCAGCTGGAGAAAATAAGATGAATTGGGTGGGCAGGTACTCAGCCCAGGGTTGTCCCAGTTCAAGGTACATTGCATTAGTATAGGCTCATTGCTGGATATGTGTGGAAAAGACCCAGTCTTCCCTGAGATAAAGGCTGCTTCATACCCCCTCAGCTAGGCTTTCTAGTGAGTGCCTGTTGTTTGCCAAGCCCCGTCTTAGCCATAGTGTAGGGAGCAGGAGGAGAAAGACCAGTCTTTTTCTTGGGAGCTTCCACTTTTAGTCAAAAACAGGACAGACACACACACACACACACACACACACACACACACACACACACACAGAGATATGTCCCTGCGCTGGGTGACACCACTCACAGCTGGGGCTGGTCTTTCTGTGATTCGATGGGTGGATGGACTTCAGGTAGGTAACCTTTCCCATCTATCATCTTGGAACTGGCTCAAGGACTCTGCTGACAAGGTATGTGATTTTGTAAATGACTTGCAAATTGTATTTAGATGTGTACAATCAGTTTGCCAGCGTTCTGGGCTGCAGCTCTTGGAAGAGAGGAGACTGTAGGTGTGGGGGACACCCCACACTGAGCCCTGCAGGATCCCACCCTTCCAGAGCTGCCTAGCCCTCAGCTAGGGTGAAAGTTAGCCAGAGGAAAACGTGGTTTGGGAATAAGTGCTGGAGGGCTTGGTGTGGAAGGATGGTTTAACTTGAGGCATTTAACCTCTGCTTGTGAAGTGAGTTTGAGTGAAAGGAGAGCCTTCCCAGTGCCGGGAGAGTCTGGGGCAGTCTGGGGTTGTTTTGAGACCTTCAAGTCAGAATGAACGGAAGCAGAGTTTAGCCTGGAGAGCAGCCGACGGAGGGCCCAGCTCTGTCATTTATTAACTGTGTGACTGAACAAGTCTTTGCCCTTCTCTGGGCTTCTTCCAATTCTTTCTCTCAAAAATGAGGGGCTGGACTTGGGCTACTGGCCGCGGCTTAAAGCCGGTGGGTGATCCTTTGAATAGAAAACCCCTCGGAGAAACTTTGCGGCAGAGGCACCTTCTTGTCTGCCCACCCGGCTCCCTGCAGAGCTGGTATAGAAATGCAAGAATGGGGAAAGGCCAGGGGAGGCTCCCGCCTTGCCAGAGGGAACACACCCAGGAGGAGGCCAGTAGGTCGGACCCCCACACGTCCTGTTCCCTGCCTAGGGAGGGGCTCTCCCTCTCTCCTTGTCTCTACCTGTCTCTCTCTATCACTACCTATCGCTGTCTCCCTCTCCCGCTCCTTGTCCCTACTCCATAGTCTCTGTGCCTCCTCCTCCTTTCCCTATCTCTTTGTCTGCCCATCTCTGGCTCTCTGACCCTGACTCTCTCTGTCTCTTCTTGTCCCTGTCTCTTTATCTGCTGACTTGTTTCTGACTCCTCTGTTTTTCTGCCTCTTTCTGTCCCTGTCTCTTTCTACTTCTCTCTGTCTCAGTCTCTCCATCTCTCTTTCTCTTTTCCTCCTTCTGTCTCCATTTCTTTGTCTGCCTATCTCTGTCTCTCTGCCTGCCCTTATCTATGTCTATGCCTGTATCTCTGTTTTTCTTGATCTCTGCCTCTGACTCCCCATTGCCTGGTGCCAAGGGTTTCTTTGAGCCTTCTGCCTTACTTCCTATGGAAATATCGCCCGAGAGCATTCTACTTTCTCTGTCTCTCTCTGTCTTGGTTACTGCCTGGTGTTTCTGTCTATCTGTCTCTCTCTCCCTCTTCCTTTGTTGCCTGCCCTGGCTGTTCTGGAAAAGAATCAGATTCTAGTATTGTTCTCCTCCAGGATGGCAGATGCCAGGCTGTCTGTCTTTACCCACTCCTCTTTGGGGTGCTAGTGATAGTGGGCTAATGCTGCTGGACCTTCTGAGAGATTCTCTCTCTTTCTCTCTTTGCTTCTGTCTCTCTCCTGCTCTGTGTCTCTCTCTCCTAGTCTGTCTCTCTCTTTCTGTCTCTTCCCTTCTTTCTCTCTCTTCCAGCAGCTGTCTCTCTAGCTCTCTCATTCTATGTGTCTCTCCCAGTAGTTTCTTAATCTCTCTCTCTCTCTCTGTGTATCTCTCTCCCTCCTCTTTGTTTCTCCTCGCCCCCACCTCCATTCTCTTCTCTTCTCCTACCATGAGCAAGTTCCTTTCCCTTCTCGGGTCTGAATTTTCTCCCTCGTAAAATGGGGCCAAGGCGGTGTTTAAGGTGCATTGAAGTCCCAGCCCTTAGATGGAGCATGGAGGGACTTCCAAAGCCACCTGGCAGTGAGCTCTCAGCCAGAGGATGAGGAAAAGAACCACATGGGCTGTTGTGGCAGCCAGGGACCCTTTTCTGGCTTCTTTTGACCCACAGGCTTGGGGCAAATCTCTTCCCTTCCTAGGATTCAGTTAACTTGTTTGTAAAATGAAAGTCCTGTGGGACTTAGAAGTAGTTCTGATGGGCCAAAGGGGAGACAGCTTTGCTGTGCTTGTGTGTCACTTTCTGCAGCTCGCCCTCCCCCCACTTTCTGCTGATGAATGGGGTCCTGCTGGGTCTCTGAGATCGCCTGGGGCCACTTAGCCTCCCTCCCTGAGGAAGGTCCTGGCTCCTGCAAGATGCAGGAAGCCTCCCCAAAGGCCAAAGCCCCCTATGCCCACCCTCCTTGCCAAGCCTCTCCAGAGCCCAGGCCGCTAAGTGTATGTGGGGGAGGAAGCCCTAGAGAGAAAGACCAGCCGGGCTGCTGAGCTCTCAAGATGGGAAGGAGGTAACAAGCCCCAGTCAAGGGAAGGGAGTTAGCACACCGCCGCCGCCGCTGCAGTGAAGGGGTGGGCTGCAGAGCGGAGCTCAGCCTTCTTTATAAACAGCTCCTGGTTCCTCCTTCCCAGCAGCTGATAAGAATTGAGCTCCCCTCGCTGGGCGCTGACGGGGCACATTCTTGGCTTCTGCGGCTGCACACAATAATACTGGGTGAAAGGAGCCAGGGATTTTGGGGGGCGGGTATTAAGGGAGCAGAACAAGGCTGCTGGGCTCAGGCTCAGGATAGCAAAGGCAGGAGCTGGGGTCACAAAGGATGGCTTGTTGTTGAAACTGGTGGCACAGTCTTGGCTCATGCAAGGGAGAAAGGCTGGTGATAGTCAAGGGTTTGTGTGTTGCTGCTGCTACCTGCCTGATTGATTAAGGGATGTGTGTGTGTGTGAGTGTGTGCGCGTGTGAGTGTGTTTGTGAGTGCACGCAATCGCCCAAGTGTGAGCAGCGTGGGACTCAGCCCCAGTGAGCTAGCCTTCCTCCGTCAGGGACCTCTGTCAGGCAGGGCTACACCCCACCCTCCCGCCATTCCCCATCTCTCCATCCCTTCATGCCCCCACTGGCCTCCTCTGCATCCCCTGCCTCAGTCTTTCCTTGTCAGTCCTTCCTTGTCATTCTCTGAGTGTCTCCCCCAGTGCTTAGCACAGCGCTCTGCACACAGATGACGCTTAATACAGGCTGCGGGGTTGGATCAAGTGATTTAGCGCCTGCTGTGTGCACAGCACTGGGCCGGGCTCGCTATTGCGGGATAAAGAATCCAAGGCGTCCCCCTGGCCCGCCTCAGCTCTTCCTCCCCCTTCCTCCTGCTGGTGAGAAAAGCAGGCACCAGTCGGTGTCTGTAGTGAAGAGAGGAGCTGAGTTCTGTGTCTCGCTGACCTTCTTCTCATGCCCATAGCTCTGCCTGGCCTCAGCGCACCGCCTCGACGGCACTTCCCAGACCCACACTTCTCCTTTGGGGGGGGGGGGGAAACTTGGCTGAGTTTCAGGTGGTGGAGGCAGGGCAGAAGGGGAAGGATCCTCACTAGTCTGGGTCTAGGGAAAGAAGCCTCATGGTAGCTTAGCCCCCCTGGAACGATGAGGGTGAGGGAGAGGATGGGGGGAGAGATGGATTGGGGATTGTTTAAGGCGACTCACTCCTCCCCTCCCGTCTTCTTCCTGGCCCTCTTTCGCGACAGCCCATAGGCACCTATCCCAGGCCAGGCGGTAGGGCTGGCCAGAGCCCAGGTGTGGTCTGCAGGCAGGGCAGTGGAGAGCTGGGGCGTCCTGTCTGTGGCCCCACTAGGGAGAGAGCTAGCCTCCGTGGGGCTGCCCACAGGATCTGGGACAGTTTCTTTAACATGGTGGTGGCAGCTGAGCTGTCCTGCTTCCGCGAGCCGGTACTCCCAGGTCCATTAGGGATTTTCTGAAGCTGGCCGGGTCTTCCCAAACACCCCCAGAGCCTGCTTCTGAACCATGCTGCGGGGACTGTGGCAATGGGGCTTCTGCTCCTTGTTCCCGAGCTGACCCGGAGCAAGCCTTCCCTCTCTGGGCCTCAGTTTCCCCCTCTGTTCAAGGGGGGGGGGGTGGGCAGGGACCTCTACCCTTAACATCTCTTTGAGCCTTCCTTCCTGAGAAGTTGTGCTTGGGATGGATTCTGGTGCTCTGGAATCTCTACTTGGCAGTTGTCCTTCTGCCCTTATTTCCTTTGTGACCCTGAGCAAGTCACTGGAAGTCTCTATTTAATGGATGTAGCTTCAAGGAGGCCCTGATAGAGTCAGCTGTCTTGAGCCGGAGGCTCAGTTTCCTCCACTGTAAAATGGGCAGGGTGGCAGGCCCAGCTGCTCTGGCTTGTCTCAGAGTACCCGGTGACGCCCGAGCCCTGTGGTGGACAGATCTTTCCTGAACCTCTGTGTTCTGGACACTGACCTCCCCTCACCCAGCCAGGGCTCCTCCTCCTCCTCCTCCTCTCGTGGCCTCCCCAGTGCTCGGCCCAGAGCTGTGCACACAGTAGGTGTCATATGAATGCTTGGCCCATTGACCGCAGGCTGGGCAATGGGGATTTGGGTCGCAGCGGCTGGCAGCAGGCGATGGCCAGGGCCACAGCCTCGCCCCCTTCCCTCGTGGGCCACCTCTCCCTTCTCTGGGTTCCCTCAGTCTCCCCATCTGGGAATGTCCCACCACCCTGTGTCCATCTGCCCCCCTTGGGATGCAGCTGGCGCTGAAGGGCTCTCTCTTCTTCCCTTTAGGCCTTCCTGGCAGGCCCCTGAGCCGCGTGAGCCGCCGCCTGAATCGCGGCATCGTGGAAGAGTGTTGCTTCCGCAGCTGTGATCTGGCTCTGCTGGAGACCTACTGCGCCACCCCTGCCAAGTCCGAGCGAGACCTGTCAGCCTCTATGATGGTGCTCCCGGTAAGTGCTGCAGACTCCCAGCCCCGGGCCTGAGCCTGGCGAGAAGTGAGGGAGAAGAGGGTCCCCCCCCCACCCCTCCAACACCCCTCGGATCGATCCCCTAGGCAGGGCCCGTGCCTGAGGCAGTGCAGAGGAGCGCACCAGCCGGGGGGCCTCCTGGGGGCTCTCCCTTCCTTCCCCGCTTTCCCTGCTCCGAACTAGCGGTCTGCCTTTCCCGGCTGTCACCGTCCTTGTCTGAGGCTTGCGCCTTAGAACCAGAACCGGCCAGCTCCTTCAGCTTCCGAGCCGTCAGCAATGGCGTTTCGACGTGGCCCGAGGCCGCACTATGCCCAGGGAGGTCCCTGGGTTCTATTCCCCGCTTTCCCAGGGACACACGGTGTGACCTTTGCCAGCCACATTCTTCCTTTGAACCTTACTTTCTTCTTTTGCAAAATGGAGACAGGAGAGGCTGTTTGCCTCGCCTTTGGGGATAGTTCTGAGAACAAGAATGAGCTGAATAGGCGTGAACGGTGGGTGGTGGGCGGCCGAGAGGGCCCCAAAGGTGCCTGCTCGGTCATGGCCAGATGGGAGAAATCTGGCCTCCGGGGGGCCTCCCTCACCCGCAGCCTAGAGGGAGGTGAAGAAATGGGCTAATGGGAGTGGGCAGATTACCAGCTCTGTGCACTAATGGGCAGGGAAGAAGAATGAGCGGATTTGTTCATTGTCTCTGGGTTTCTTCCCCTGCTCGGAGGTGTTTCCACGAGCAGAGGGGGAGCAGCCAGGCAGCCCGTGGGGGACTGGAGGGAGAGGACCCCACGGTCCGTTGGGGCCATCATCCGGGCAGGGCCTGCAGAGTCAGCTTCATCCCTGACGGTTCCCATCGCTGGTCTCTGCTTGTTGTCACAAGCCCTGGGGAGACCATGCGGGTGCTGCCTCGGCCCCTGGCGGAGCTCCCCCGCTGGGCTCTTTCTGGCTTAGCTCTGACCTTGAGAGCTCCCAGCTCCAATTCAGAGAGCATTTCTCTGGCCCTCTGGGCAAGGCTGGGGAGCTCCTTCTCCTGCCCCCATTCTCAGTGGCTGCTGAGGCTGACTGCTTACCGCCCGCCCTGGAGGGCTTGCTGATTCTCATCAGACCACTCCTAACTCCTGGCTCCTCTCTGCTTCGGCCTGGCCCGGCCCACCCGCCTCCTCACCCTGCCTCCTGCCCCTCTCGCCCTCAGGAAAACTTCCCCAGATTACCGGTGGGTAAGTTCTTCAGACTCGACACCTGGCAGAAGTCAGCCCGTCGCCTCCGGAGGGGCCTGCCTGCCCTCCTGCGTGCCCGCAGGGACCGGCTGAGAGCCCAGGCGCTGGAAGCGGTCAGAGAGGCCAAGCGGCACCGTCCGCTGATCACCCTGCCCAGCGAGGACCCCATCCGCACGGATGCCTCATCCGGAAAACCCGCCAATCAGAAGTAACCTGGGCACCTGCCCGTCTGCCCCTGGGATCGGATTCCTCTTCATCTATACTCTCTCTCCTTTTCTCTCGACAAATTCGGCCTCTATTCTTCCAAATGTCTTTCTTCCACCGCCCCCCCCCCCTACCCCCCCATCCCCCCTCCCCCCCCCCCCCTCGACGCCAAGGGGCTTCGAGCAGCTGCCTTCCTGGTCATCTCCAGGCAGCATGTGATCGTCAGGCTAGCACCAACAGTGTGGGCCGCCATGCTTTCCGGGGCCTTGGCCTTGCCCGCTATCATGTCTATAGGATTTTTCAAAGAGCTCAAACACCCAAAGTCCCCGCGGGCTCAGCTTCTCTCCTCCCATGCTCCCAGTCAGATTGGCCTTGGACTGTGGACTCCCCCAAAAGCGTCAGGAGAGGGCCTAGCTACCAAGAGAGGCTGTGGGGTGCTGTGCCCTGGAGGGGAGATCCCGGTACCCATTCCGCTGGGAACTCAGTCAGGGCAGGGGGACCCCGAGCCTCCCCTATAGATGTGGTGCCTCCCCACCCACCATCACTCTTCATTGGCACATTCTCAAACTCAACCCCCTAACCACCCCGTTTTTTTGAACCAACCTCATGCTCTCTGCTCCTTTCCCACCATCCACCATCACTGAGGAGGAATCCCCAGGCCAACAGTCCATTTGCAGGTTTCTGGTTCACTCGCTTTTCTGCCAAACTGCAATATTCCGTGCCTACTTGCATCTTTTAATCATTCACAAGTGAGAGAGAGGCAGAGAGTAGGCTAAGCTAGAGAGTGGAGCAGACGGGCCGGGGTCCCTGTCCCTGAGGCAAGGGCGTCCAGCTGCCTTTGCCAGGGCTCACCTTGGTCTAGCCCAGGGCTAGATTCTGCGTCATCTTTCGGCAAATGAGCTCTATCTGGCTGGTCCCTCTTTTGTGTGGGCCCCCCGGGGGACCCCAGTGCTCCTACATCAGTGTGTTTATGGTGCTAAAGTGAGTTGGCCGGGACAGAAGGGGAAGGAACACCTCGTCAGGGAAGGGCGAGAGGGCGAATCCTGACAGACCCGGGCAGCCGGCTTTTCCTTTGGAGAAAAGTAGGAGAATGCGGTTTTCTCCCTGCTTCCGGGGCACACAGTTTGGTGAACTCTTCCCCACTTTCTTCATCACACACACACACACACACACACACACACACACACACACACACGAGCATGCACACATCCACACTCATGTACATGCATGTGCCTAGCATGTGCCTTCATACCTGACTCACACTCCTGAGCACACACGCACTCATGCACTCACTCACACATCTCCATGAAGGGTTACCAGACTGTGGCAGATACCCCAAACGTGTGCCTTCCGGATCCAGAATCACCAGGCATTCTCGGGCTTCCCTGGCAGATGGCTCATCCTCTTGGACTTCTGCCTTCCCCCTCAGACATCCCGCCAACCCCCTTCTCTCACACAGCAGGTAGCTTTTTTTTTTTCCCCATAGCTTTCTCCAGTGCCGCTCTGTATCATCCTTTACCTACAAAAATCGGTCCCTTGGCCTCCATTTTTTGTCCCCTCCCCGCCCCCACCCCCAGCGCCTCTAGTCCCCTCCCCCCATTCCTCCCCTGGCCCTGCCCCTTCTCGAAAGGTTGTGGGCACGGTCAGGCTGAGGGTGGGGAGGAGGGAGGAATCCTGCCTTTGAGGCTCGTTTTCTTAAGGGTGGGATTCCTCCTCTTGGGGCGACCACAAAAGCCAGAGCTGGGGGTGGCAAGAGGCTCCAGCATTTTGATTCGGACCATTTGGCCCCCTGTCCAGCAGGCCCAGCCTGAGGAGGCATTACCTCCTGGGGGTGCGCTCTGACCAGCCCTCCTCCTATGGGGGGGCAGGCCGGGGTGAGAACCAGAACCCTGCCCCTCACCTGGGCCTCCAAATCCTACTCCCAAATAGCCAGACAGCCGACCGACCACCTTCCCGCCCTCATCTGCCCCAGTCCAAGGGGAGGCCGATGGCCCCCCCCTCAGCTCCGGGACCCCCTTCTGTCCGCCTCTCAGTAACCATGCACCATTGAGCCAATACATGCCCTGAACAGAACGGCACTCCGAGAAGCAATCTACAAACACGTACAACCAAAAACCTGGGGGAAGGTCAGCTCCTTTTATTTATTTTGTAACAGAGGGATGCACAAGCGTGGAGGAATGAGATTGGTCCAAAGCCGCGGTGGGGGAGGAGAGGACCCCTGGCCCCTCCAGTCAGGCCCTGCAGCCAGCAGCAGCTTCATCCAGGTGCCCTTCCGGCTCCTCTCCAAAGACAGCTCCCCGCTCAGAAAGCCAGGGCCGGGGAGCAGGAGCGGGACAGGGATGAAGCAGGAGGAGGGAGAGAGTGGGGGCATACAGGGGGAGGGGGGGATGTCTCTCTTTTTTTTTTTTTTTTTT